AAATTACTTTATATTCATATTAAGTATATTTATATTAATTGGATGGACCAACAAACTTTGCGAAATATTTCGTCAAAAATGAAAAATAAATTTATTTCGTGGTGCCTACGTAAGATTATTAAAGTAGTACGTTCACCTGTACATGATAGAATAACATACATCAATTAAAGGTAAACCTGATCAAGTAGAATGATCTTAACATTGATGTCTAAATGAAAAAAGTCGAAGCTTAAATGTGCATTTGTACAGGTGAATGTTTCTCGATTGATTCACAAACGATACGATTAAGTAATGTTACTTAGCATTAGAAGAACGTGCAGTATGATAAAACGGTCCACGCGAAGGTATTACGTTACGCCCACGTAATAAACGGCGTTAACGCGAGAATGTTAAGAGGTAATGGACCAACTTCCCGGACACGACGAGTTTCAACGGCCGCAGCGAATCCTCTGACAATGACATTGCCGTCTGTCATATCGTCGATGCCGAACAATTCCTGGTTATCATCTTGTCTTAGTCGACTACCGCACGTTTCAAAAGTCGTGTAGACATTTTAAATTATATAGGAATCCGTTTAGGCTTGTAGGCACAATGGAACCGAAAAAAGTGACAGTAACGTTTAAAGGAAATGTAAGGAAATTAAACTTTTCGACACAACATTAGAATACCGCAATAAGTAATTAATATTCACGTTTTTAAAGGATTGAAAACATATAATTCCAATTCTGTCAGATGCATTTTGCATCCCTTTACCTCTCAAGATTAAAAATACATTCGTGTAGCTATACGGCCAACAAGTGTTACACGGCAATAGTAAACAAGATGTATTTATGATCTCTATACTTATATAATTACATCGGCTCTCTTTTTTTTCTCCCTTCTGTTCTTATGTTTCTTTAGCGCGCAATTAAATGGATTGTAGAGATTAACGAGCACTATACTTATTCCTCAAACGTCGAAGCTTAATTCGTACCTTAGAATCAGATTTAAAAAATTACATGGAAGTAATATGATTAGTCGACAACTTCGATCCTTAATGAAAATCGTTTAGAATTATTTCGAGTCATGCCCTGAAATTGGCCATTTCTTACGAATTGAAAAAAGAATTTTCACACAAGAGAAACAAAAAGTGTCTTATGCAACGTGAATTACGAAATAGAGCAAGAGCTAACAAGAGTCTCGCATTAGCATTACAACGGCGCTACATATTGATATAAATGCAGTACTTTACATGCTATTTCCCCGACAGTGTTACAAAATACTTGTTCCAGTTACACACTATTTACACAATTGAAGATTATTTCTGGATCTTGCATTTTATTACTTTTTAACTATTCTCCTTTATTCTTATTTAATGTGATCAACGTTTCCTCAATTAATTCTTAGGTGACATAATAAATCATCTAGATAAAAACTATATTTTACACATTGAGTGACAAGTTTTGTTGACAAGCTTTTTATTTGTAGAATCGTTAAATATTGCGCAGTAAACTATTCCGCGAACTACTTATCGATCCGTTAGTAAAATATGGACTAAAAAAGATATCAAATATGAATGGCTTTATCCTGTATTATATAATAAAGATAGTAATATTTGACAAATACTTATTGAACAGACTATACTATATAAATACTTACTAAAACAGACGTAAAATATTCTTTTTCTTTTTCAGATCCTTGTCAAATTTAGTATACATCATTCCAGAAATAAAGATATTATGATGATTTCATACCTAATTGAATATTTCTTAAAACATGACTAGACTATTTAGAGAATTAAGTTTTTAAGAGATAAACGAACGATTCTAG